ACAATAGATGCCCATTGATCTCTTTGAATTTTTGGAACAACTAATCTTTGGCGCTTTTTTGATAACATGAACCCAATTAGAGAAAACTGGACCAATGGAATTTAAAAATTAAATTCCACTTTCTAAACTAGAAATCGTTTACCTTTTGTTGCGCCACTTCCACATTTGTATTTGGAGAGTGCTATTTACATCACTTCCAGCAGATGGATTATAATTGAACATAAAAAGTGCACATATACCTAAGTGCATTAACATTTTAGACTTTTTCCTGGAAAAAAAAATCAGCAAAACCTATATAGAGTCTTCACTACGTTCATTACTCTTAAAAACAAATGAACTTAAATCTCTTTAAATTTCAAGATCAGTTTGGTATGCACAATTTTAACTTAAAACCAAACTTGAGAAAAATGGAGCAATAGAAGTTTATATTCCGCTGGGAAATCTATAAATTAAATTCCACTTTCAAAACTAGAAACGTCTTTTCGCGCCACTTCCATGTCTGTTTTTGGAGAGTGCTATTTATGTCACTTTCAGTAGATGAATTTCAATTGAACTCGAAAAGTTCATATATACTTTTCGAGTTCAATTGAAAAGTAATACATTCATAAAGGCATCAATATATATGAATGCACATGTAAATATTAGAGACTTTTCCAATAAAAACAAAACAAAAAAATCAGCTAGACCTACATAAGAGTCTTCACTACGTCACTACGTTAATTACTCTTAAAAACAGATGCCCATTAATCTTTTTGATTTTCTGGAACAATTTATGACCGGCGCTTTTTTGATAACATGAACACAACTAGAGAAAATTGGACCAATGGAAATCTAAAAAGTAAATTCCACTTTCAAACCTAGAAATCATTCACGTTTTTTACGCCCTTTGCAGATTCGTATTTGCAGAGTGCTATTAACATCATTTCCAGCGGATGGATTTTAATTGAACTCCGAAAGTGCATATATACCTAAGTGCATCAATATTTTAGACTTTTTCCTGAAAAAAAATCAGCAAAACCTTTATAAGAGTCTTCAATACGTTCAATACTCTTAAAAAATGACCTTAAATCTCTTTAAATTTCAAAATCAGCTTAGTATGCAAACTTTTTGCTAAAAAGAACCCAACTTGAGAAAATTGGATCAATAGGTAAAATTTATACTCTGCTGAGAAATCTTTAAATTAAATTCCACTTTCAAAACTAGAAACAATTTTTCGCGCCATTTCTAAGTTCGTTTTGGAGAGTGCTATTTCAGTCACTTTCAGCTAATGACTTTCAATTGAACTCAAAAAGTGCATATATACCTTAGTGCATTCATAAATGCACCAATATATATGATTGCACATCTGTAAATATTGAAGACTTTTCCTAAAAAACAAAAAAAAATCAACAGTACCTATATAAGAGTCTTCGGTACGTTAATTGCATTCAACAATAGATGCCCATTGATCTCTTCGAATTTTTGGAACAACTTATCTTTGGCGCTTTTTTGATAACATGAACCCAATTAGAGAAAACTGGACCAATGGAATTTAAAAATTAAATTCCACTTTCGAAACTAGAAATCGTTTACCTTTTGTTGCGCCACTTCCACATTTGTATTTGGAGAGTGCTATTTACATCACTTCCAGCAGATGGATTATAATTGAACATAAAAAGTGCACATATACCTAAGTGCATTAACATTTTAGACTTTTTCCTGGAAAAAAAAATCAGCAAAACCTATATAGAGTCTTCACTACGTTCATTACTCTTAAAAACAAATGAACTTAAATCTCTTTAAAATTCAAAATCAGTTTGGTATGCACAATTTTAACTTAAAACCAAACTTGAGAAAAATGGAGCAATAGAAGTTTATAATCCGCTGGGAAATCTATAAATTAAATTCCACTTTCAAAACTAGAAACGTCTTTTCGCGCCACTTCCATGTCTGTTTTTGGAGAGTGCTATTTATGTCACTTTCAGTAGATGAATTTCAATTGAACTCGAAAAGTTCATATATACTTTTCGAGTTCAATTGAAAAGTAATACATTCATAAAGGCATCAATATATATGAATGCACATGTAAATATTAGAGACTTTTCCAATAAAAACAAAACAAAAAAATCAGCTAGACCTACATAAGAGTCTTCACTACGTCACTACGTTAATTACTCTTAAAAACAGATGCCCATTAATCTTTTTGATTTTCTGGAACAATTTATGACCGGCGCTTTTTTGATAACATGAACACAACTAGAGAAAATTGGACCAATGGAAATCTAAAAAGTAAATTCCACTTTCAAACCTAGAAATCATTCACGTTTTTTACGCCCTTTGCAGATTCGTATTTGCAGAGTGCTATTAACATCATTTCCAGCGTATGGATTTTAATTGAACTCCGAAAGTGCATATATACCTAAGTGCATCAATATTATAGACTTTTTCCTGAAAAAAAATCAGCAAAACCTTTATAAGAGTCTTCAATACGTTCAATACTCTTAAAAAATGACCTTAAATCTCTTTAAATTTCAAAATCAGCTTAGTATGCAAACTTTTTGCTAAAAAGAACCCAACTTGAGAAAATTGGATCAATAGGTAAAATTTATACTCTGCTGAGAAATCTTTAAATTAAATTCCACTTTCAAAACTAGAAACAATTTTTCGCGCCATTTCTAAGTTCGTTTTGGAGAGTGCTATTTCAGTCACTTTCAGCTAATGACTTTCAATTGAACTCAAAAAGTGCATATATACCTTAGTGCATTCATAAATGCACCAATATATATGATTGCACATCTGTAAATATTGAAGACTTTTCCTAAAAAACAAAAAAAAATCAACAGTACCTATATAAGAGTCTTCGGTACGTTAATTGCATTCAACAATAGATGCCCATTGATCTCTTCGAATTTTTGGAACAACTTATCTTTGGCGCTTTTTTGATAACATGAACCCAATTAGAGAAAACTGGACCAATGGAATTTAAAAATTAAATTCCACTTTCGAAACTAGAAATCGTTTACCTTTTGTTGCGCCACTTCCACATTTGTATTTGGAGAGTGCTATTTACATCACTTCCAGCAGATGGATTATAATTGAACATAAAAAGTGCACATTTACCTAAGTGCATTAACATTTTAGACTTTTTCCTGGAAAAAAAATCAGCAAAACCTATATAGAGTCTTCACTACGTTCATTACTCTTAAAAACAAATGAACTTAAATCTCTTTAAAATTCAAAATCAGTTTGGTATGCACAATTTTAACTTAAAACCAAACTTGAGAAAAATGGAGCAATAGAAGTTTATAATCCGCTGGGAAATCTATAAATTAAATTCCACTTTCAAAACTAGAAACGTCTTTTCGCGCCACTTCCATGTCTGTTTTTGGAGAGTGCTATTTATGTCACTTTCAGTAGATGAATTTCAATTGAACTCGAAAAGTTCATTTATACTTTTCGAGTTCAATTGAAAAGTAATACATTCATAAAGGCATCAATATATATGAATGCACATGTAAATATTAGAGACTTTTCCAATAAAAACAAAACAAAAAAATCAGCTAGACCTATATAAGAGTCTTCACTACGTCACTACGTTAATTACTCTTAAAAACAGATGCCCATTAATCTTTTTGATTTTCTGGAACAATTTATGACCGGCGCTTTTTTGATAACATGAACACAACTAGAGAAAATTGGACCAATGGAAATCTAAAAAGTAAATTCCACTTTCAAAACTAGAAACCGTTCACGTTTTTTACGCCCTTTGCAGATTCGTATTTGCAGAGTGCTATTAACATCATTTCCAGCGGATGGATTTTAATTGAACTCCGAAAGTGCATATATACCTAAGTGCATCAATATTTTAGACTTTTTCCTGAAAAAAAATCAGCAAAACCTTTATAAGAGTCTTCACTACGTTCAATACTCTTAAAAACAAATGACCTTAAATCTCTTTAAATTTCAAAATCAGCTTAGTATGCAAAATTTTTGCTAAAAAGAATCCAACTTGAGAAAATTGGATCAATAGGTAAAATTTATATTCTGCTGAGAAATCTATAAATTAAATTCCACTTTCAAAACTAGAAACAATTTTTCGCGCCATTTCTAAGTTCGTTTTGGAGAGTGCTATTTCAGTCACTTTCAGCTAATGACTTTCAATTGAACTCAAAAAGTGCATATATACCTTAGTGCATTCATAAATGCACCAATATATATGATTGCACATCTGTAAATATTGAAGACTTTTCCTGAAAAAAAAAACAAAAAAATTAACAGGACCTATATATGAGTCTTCGATACATTAATTACTCTTAAAAATACATGCCCATTAATCTCTTTGAATTTCTGGAGCAATTTATGATTGGCGCTTTTTTGATAACATGAACCCTATTAGAGAAAGCTGGACCAATGGAAATCTAAAAAATAAATTCCACTTTCGAAACTAGAAAGTGGAATTCAGAAAATAGAAAGCAGTCTCGAAAAGTCTAGTTATCAGCACTTATACGTGTTAAATCAGCACTTATACATGAATAAAAGCTGATATAAAACGGTACCATAACAGCAGCGTTGATATGCCAATCTGGGTCATATCACATAATGAATATATTTTTTGATGGAAATTTGATTGAAAACAATTTCACCTTTTTTTCAGACTTGTTTAGTCATTTTTTTCATCTCAAACTAGTTATAGAAAAAATTTGCTACCTGTATTATTCAGTGGAGTGAGATATTTACATATCAGGCTACGTGGATATTATAGCGTGATAACTGAATTTTGTAATCATAGTATAACATCAACAAAAATTGAAAGGAGTCAAGTCAAATAAGGCACAAACTGCTTCAGCATACCCAACACCAAATGCACATGCTGGAAACTCCACGTTTCTTGATGATTGAAAATAAAAGTTGTTTACGGGAAAAAAAGCCTGGTTCCCGGTTGCCAAAACACTTGCTCTCCCAGGTGAAAATACGGAAACTCTGGAAGCTGATTCCAGAAATAGGTTTATGTAGACCATTACCTGTTGATTTGAGCTTTTGGGACTACTCGCCAATGCTAGAGCTGCATCTCCACCTGTTGTCGCCATTGCATTTAGAGGACTAAAACAGACAAACACGCAATGAGCATTCTCATGAATCACAAACTGACATCGGACATTTTTTCAGTCTCTGTGTAAATCACTGGAACAAAATATTCCAACCCTTCCCAATAGGGGTAAGTTTCGTCAGTAGGTTCTTATCTATGGTACTAGTTAACTTGTTTGGTCCCGTGACAACACTAGTTTAGATGATTGGTCCCGCATATTTTCTAAAAATAAGAGATAGCTCGGGATTTGAACCTACGCCTTGTGTTTGGTAACCGGATTCGTACCCACTAGACTGGGTGTTAGATATTAAGCCGACGGGACTTCAAGCCGAATCGTAAAATTACGGACTTCAAGCCGAAAATTTTCCCATCAAGTCATGAAATATGATTAATTTGAAAACTCTTTTGAATAATTACTCAATTTCATAATCTTTCTTCAGTAGTTATTGGCGTTTTCATGAAATTTAAGCCTCCAAATGATGTTTAGGAAAACTGAAAAAAAAAAACACGGTTGAAGGCAATTTTCTTGTTTATAATTTATGCATTTCAAAAACCGGCTGATATTTTGACGGATGCCAATTCTAAGTGATTTATTGTCATGAATAACGCTTATTCTGGTCTAACTTGCCTAAAATTTTTAAAAGCAACGTTTTACAGATCAAAAAAATAGTGTTTTGAGTGTATGTAAAGTTTAAATTTCGGCCTGAAGTCCCTTCGGCTTGAAGTCCCGTCGGCTTGTTGTCCTATACCCCACTAGACTAACTAGCCCCGTTTCGACAGCAATACAGAGAAATAAAAATGCTTACTGTTAGAATTAGCCATATACTATACCTCGGTTTTATTAGGGCCCACAGCCTTTTTGAGGCACCAAACAAGTAAACTAGTACCCAAAACTGTAGTGCTATGACATTACCCGCTTGTTGGTTTTGGTTCATCAGAACTAGTATGCGCATTGGCTGTCACCCTCATGCCTCCCACTTTGGCTGAAGCAAATTTAATATTCTTCTTGACAAAAGAACTTTCAAACAAGTTCGCTGCTTACTCATAACGAACAGAGGTATTGAACTTATTCTTTTGCGTTGAGAAAATTTGCTCAATTATAGTATGAGATCAGCGCAGGGCTATTAAAATGAATCTTATATTGTTTTTTGTCTGTTCAAATAAGACACACTGACATGTGTTTTGTATGTTCAATTAAGTCGCATTCACCGAGCTATTTATCGTCAAGTAACTCTTTCGTTGTTGATAAATTCTCGAAAGCAACAATCTGCTTAAAAGCACCGAATTTACTAATTCTTCTGATACTATCTACCAGAAAATTGAACGAAGCTATTTTCCCCGAAAATGCGAGTTATTTACTACAAAACTGTAAATTTTATGAATATAAGCAATTCAAAAGCAAAATAAGCAATATAAGAATTCAAATATAAGCACTTAAAAACATGGCACACAGCTGAAACTATTTTCAAAGTCAAAGAATTGCTTACCAGCAGGGCTATGACCAGGAACTTTCTCATTTGTATCTGTCATTTTTCTAAAACAAAGGAATTATCGTAACATATATTGAAGTCGTTAAATTGAAACACATATGCAGCAAAAAAAGGCTCTTATAATAAGAATAATAATAATAATAACAAAGGATTCAGGAATATAAACAAAGGGTTCGCATAAAACCCTGTCATTGCAGTGTTCCAAGTTTAAGAAATTTTTGCTAAAAAGTAAATTTCAAACGTTTTCGCAACTATGTGCATCGTCAGGATTTTTACAATAAACTACTCTAAATGACGATAAAACATCAATTTACAAATGTTATTTACAATAAATCACATACAATTTGGTTCTAAACCATCATGATAAAAAATTAGCCAATCACAGTTGACCTCTAAATTACTATTAAGATTAGTTTTCAGTTATAAGTGTAAGTTTCTTCAGGTCTCTACAGTTGTTGGATTCGCATAAAATGCGCCAAGAGCGTGTATCTGATTCGTTGTAGCAAGTTTTGAAAAACTTCGTGTACACTCCTAGTAGTCTGTTTTTGCCTTCTGGTTCAAACAATATGTCACATTAAAAGTATTCGTTGTACAGATTAGCAAGACAACATGCCGGAAACGAGAAATCCGTCTCGCACTTCTTCAGACGCATTTGTTTGCAGACAAAAATTCGTGTCATTTGACAATTCATTTGAGCTCTTCGGTTTCCATGTTCAGTGATGCTTACATGGTTCCTCGAGTCTGTAACATTCGACCAAATACTACACAGCGACAGAGCGTAGAAAAAGTACCTATCAACGACTGGCAGGCGTCAGTTACCTTAAATCTACTCGTTTTTCACCGTCCGACCTTGCCAGTTGATTTTCTGGTCTGTTTAGGGCTAAGTAAAAAGTTACTATTTTTAGGCCATCAGTCAAACGACTTTTGTTCAGCTTTCGCTTACATGCGAACACAACCACATAGCTGAGTCTCGGATCCTCAGACTACGTGATTGCCATTAAAAACACGGCTCGAACAACCTATTTTAACATGTTTTTGTGTGACAATTCTATATTAAATCCATTGGAGATGGATTGACCCTTTCGTCTTTCTAGCTACTCATATTCTAAAATATCAAATTATACCGGTGTTAATTCAGAGTTCTACGACATCCAAGTAGCTACAAAGTTAGTTTTATATAGTCCCTTCACATGAGACAGTCTCTGGGGGACCAAGCCTCCGCTCCCGCAATCTTCCTGAGATAACGCTTTTATCTCTTCCGACTTGTGGCACGGGAGGGTTCCGTGGAATATTCCTTCCTCACTGAAGCTTCCTTCTCCACTAATATCCGCTGCTAAGGGTTTTATCGTGTGTTATTGCCACGATAAGAGGCTTCGTACTTTTCGTCTCTTTTGCGACCATTTTCCACAAAATTTGTCGTTGTTCTCTTTTTTCGTCGTTTTTCGTCAAAATGGCCGTCTTTTTGTATTTCTCAGAAATATTCACTTATCAATCGAAATTTTGAAAATAAAAATTCTAGAATACTCCTACCCTCCTTCGCAATACTTTTTCGTCAATAAGGCCTTTATTCGTTTTTTCTCGTGTCACCGGAAGGTTGCGCTGTGCCATCTGGCAGAATGGCACATACTCCCCGGACAGTCCCCATGAATGTCCCTATTGATCGCATAACACCGGGTAATCGTCAAGTAGTGTTCCAGTTTTCTGTAATCAATCTTACAAATTGCATAAGAAAATGAAATTTATCTACTCCACCTCAACTCACTACGTGTTCACAAATGGCATCGTACTACATTTCACTGCCTTTCAACATTTTCACAAAATTTGCACCATGAGGAGTGTCCTAGATAAAATTTCTTTTCTGACTACTTCCGTCGTCTTGCCATAAAACTTGTTTTCGCTCTTTGTGATTAAAAAGTTGGGACGTGGCACGCACGGCCACGCACCCGTTAAAATTAACTTAACATCACTCACCAAGTATAATCAGTTATTTATGCGGTCCTTTCAATATTAAAACTAAGAAACTCTGTGGCTAGGAAAGTTATTGAGTTACTCACCCTTCTCAAGCGAGTTTACTCAAACGTACCATGTCGCCACACAGTGAAATTGTGTCTTACACAGGTTAAAAACTTCAATCGTGTTTAAATAGGTAAATATACTCACCTATGTTCTATATTGTGCCATTCTGCCAGATGACACAGCATAACCTTCCGGCGACATAAAGAAGAGTGACTAAAGGCCTTATGAACAAAAAAGTGTTGCGACGGAGGGTCAGAATGTTCTAGAATTTTTATTTTTAAAATTTCGATTGGAAGAAGAACATTTCTGAGAAATAGAGAAAAGACGGCCATTTTGAATAAAAAGACGAAAAAAAGAACCACGATAGAGATTGTGAAGAACAGTCGAGCAAGAAAATTACGAAGCCTCTTATCGTGGCAATAACACACGATAAGAACCTTAGCGACGTATATTTGTGGAGAAGGAGGCTTCAGTGGGGGAAGAAATATACCACGGAACCCTCCCGGGACACGAAATATAAGAGATAAGAGTGTTATCTCAAGAATATTACGGGAGCGGAGGCTTGGTCCCCCAGAGACTGTCTATGTGAAGGGACTGTATAGACTGACTGTATAGCTGCTATAATGTCATAGATTTTAATTAACACCGTTATTATTTAATATTTCAGAGTATGAGTAGCTAGAAGAAGGAAAGGGTCAATCCATCTCTAATGGATTTAATATAGAACTGTCACACAAAAACATAATAAAATAGGTTGTTTGAGCCGTGTTTTTAATGACAATCACGTAGTCTGAGGATCCGAGACTCAGCTATGTGGTTGTGTTCGCATGTAAACGAAAGCTGATCAAAAGTCGTTTGACTGATGGCCTAAAAATGATAACTTTTTGATTTGCCCTAGACAGACCAGAAAATCAACTGGCAAGGTCGAGACGGTGAAAAACGAGTAGAATTAAGGTAACTGACGCCTGCCAGTCGTTAATAGGTACTTTTTCTACGCTCCGTCGCTGTGTGATATTTGGGCGAATGTTACATATATATACATAAATAGTCATAACTAAAATCAACAATTTCAACAATTTTAGCAATTGCAACACTGTAGTTTGGTCTGACCAAACTAGATCAAAACAAAAAGTTTAACAAGTTCAATAATCAAAACTTGGTTCATTGGTTCAAGTTTTAACACACAAAAACAATCAAGTTTTTTTTCTCCTTCCCTTTTCTCCTTTGCTCACGTCTTCACTTGTTCTCTTCGTTCATCATCTTCATTCCATCGCTTCTCTTTCTTGATCTTCAGCTTCGCTGTCTTCTAGGACTTTACCAGCATGTCCATGGAGTTGCGGGCCGTGCCCCAACTCTCCTGTTCCAACAGCCTCGGTTTGCAACAAGGTAGCAAGTCCACATTCACCTTTTGCTCCCGGTTCCTGCAAAAACTGCAAGAGGAAGGGGTCAATCCATCTCCAATGGATTTAATATAGAACTGTCACACAAAAACATATTAAAATAGGTTGTTCGAGCTGTGTTTTTAATGGCAATCACGTAGTCTGAGGATCCGAGACTCAGCTATGTGGTTGTGTTCGCATGTAAACGAAAGCTGATCAAAAGTCGTTTGAATGATGGCCTAAAAATGGTAACTTTTTACTTAGCCCTAAACAGACCAGAAAATCAACTGGCAAGGTCGAGACGGTGAAAAACGAGTAGGATTAAAGTAACTGACGCCTGCCAGTTGTTAATAGGTACTTTTTCTACGCTCCGTCGCTTCGTAGTATTTGGGCGAATGTTACATAGACGTTTTTATGGCGCTCCTGGGTGGGCCTGTCAAAGGCATAAGACCATCATGATCAGCAAGCGTTTCAGCGACGAACCCTCCGCTCCGGGCGTATGCCCGAGTTAGAGGCCTTAATGACCGTTATTGTACTAGTGGGAAGGTGCGTACCCTCCGTCTAGTACTATTTAGCTTTTTAACTTAGTTAACACCGAAAATTCCGGGGGCCTGAGGGTTAGGTGGGAAATCTAGAGCCCGCTTGTCCCGAGGTCCCAGGACCAAAAACAATTAAAGAGAAAGCGTAAAACCAAACAAAAATAGTGTATAACCAAGAAAAAGCCAAAAATTAATTTATTTGAAAACAAAAAAGTACAAAAAACAGTAAAAAATCCAAAAAAGTACAAAAAACAGTAAAAAACATAAAGTGACAGTTTATATGTTATTTCCGGACGAGATGTGATCTGACCTTCCTATTTGTTGTTGTTTCAGATCGATTTATATCGTTTCTGATAGAAAGATTGTGTGTTTTGGTGAAGGGTTGGATACCCTCCCTCGAGTGTAATTTGAGTGTTTAAGCACGTTAATGGTGATTTTGCCGGTGACCGGAGGGTAGAGTGGCAAGCTGATCAACGTGTTCCACACTCAACAGGGACATCAAGGACAACATCCGCAACGACTGTTGGGTATCGTTGAAGCAATTTTAGTATCGTTCGGGTATTATTTCATTAAAACTTAAGTGGTGGGGGCACGATTGGCGCGGTCCGATTGTACCCTCCATCGATTACAAATTTCCGAGTTAAGGGTCTTAATTCGGATATTTTGGTGCAAAGGAGGGTATAGTACTATTCATTAACGACTAATAATAGATTAATATCCTTATTATATATTACTTATCTCCTCAATTAGATCCAAAAAACACCCAATTTTGTCGAAAATCATCGATTTTCGATCAAACTGTAGACCCCCAAATTTTTGGATATCCGAGCTTTTCCGAACAACAAAAAATTTTATATAGGGAGTAGCTACGTAGTTCGATCCCCCTAACTAAAGAAACCGCGTGAGAAAAGACTCAGTAGAAGTTGGAAAAAACCAAAATTTTTCGGTCAAAATTTCGATAATTTTTTGAATTTTGTCAATCTGTTTTGGGGATCGAGTTTTTGAGTTTTTAGAGTTAGAGCAATAAAATTTTTTGCGTTAGGAGCGTGCTAGCATAACGTGCTCGGTTACTAGAGAAATTTTTGGGTAACCCTCCGAGTAGCTCCGTGGATAGAGCTAACGACTTAAGGTTTGGAAAAGGAAGGAATCGGAGGGTACA